TTATTTTGTTGATTTGTATACCAAAATTACCAATTGTTTCAATTCATTTTGCCGCTTCCAACTCTGTTTGGAAATGTAATTATCTAAAAATTTTTAAATTTGATGATTATAATTAATCTATTTTTGGCATACTAAATTTGATATTTATTTATTTATTTTTTTTATTGCAGGAACTGCAAATCCAAAGGAGCGTCTGCTTTTTTTATTGTTTATAATTCAAAGGAGCGTCTGCTTTTTTTATTGTTTATAATTTGTGTTTATGGTTTGTTGTATTTTTCGATATTTATTTTTTTATTTGTTGTTCATCAATTTATTTAAATTTACTATGGAAACCAAAATATATGATCTAATTGCAATTGGGATGACATTAAGAAATTGATAATTGATTTTTGTGTCCACTTAGAAAATGTTTAAAAAAAATGAACGCATTGTCAATAACTTGTAATAATGGCTGATTAAACTTGTTTCCTATTTTATACATTTATTCATCCCACAAATTGATCTCTTTTTGAAAGAAGAAAATAAAAAACGAAAAAATAAATGAAATGTAACGGTAAATGGCGGGAAATGGACAAATACTGCCAGCTAGGTAAAATTAAAGAGGTTTTCTTTAATGTTTTGAGCTGGTAATTATATATATATAGATACCTTGACTTGGGCTTAGGGCGAGTTTTGAGAGCATTTGGACCAGTTCTTGGGGCTCTAAATGGACCGAACTGGTACTCTATTGGGCCGAGAGTGAATAATCGAGGTTCGGGTCAAAATGGCTCGAAAACTAAACGGAACGGATATCAATTCGGTTTACGCGATTAAACCGAAAATCGCCGAAACAATTTAAAATTCCAAAACAAATAAATCCTAATAATTCTAATACACATAAATAATATATAAACATATAATACTCACATATATTAGTCACATAACAATTTTATATCAGGCAGAATAAATAAGACGAGCAATTAATATCATAACCGATAAACAAATAAAATAAGGGCAATTAATCAATGTAAGCTAATAAATAATAATATAAAAATCCAAAAATTCTAATAAACGAACGAGGCGTTACAGTGTCTGTGTAAGTTATCCGTTTTTCTGTTTTTGTTCATTTGTCTTTCTTTTTGTGGATCGAAAGGGTTGAATTTATACACAAAAAAGGTAAAGATGTTACTAGGCGCATAGGGTGACGCCGCGTGTATTCATGCAAAACTCATCTTTTAAGAATGGGACAACTTGGGCGGTTTCCTTATCAGCTTTACTGGTTCAACTTTCATGCATGTGAGAGATTGCCAATCTTCCGGTGGAAGATACATGAAGAGATCGACAGATTGGATATCTACCAATCGGGGGATCGCCATACTCGATTGATGTTGCTTACTAGGCTGCTTAAGTTTGAACTCGTATAGGCCTAATTGCTTGTCTGGATTTGTCTTGGCGGGCTGGATTGGATCTTAAAAAAATTGAGTACAACATGTTTGATTCAACTAGTTTAATTATTTGCTGGTGTAAATTATTTTGTTTATTGATATATCGAGTCTTTTTTTTTAAAGAATCAACTATATTTTGTATTTTAATTGTGTAAATTGGGAATTATATTGAAAAAATAGTAATTGAAATGAATATTATTTTATAAAATAATTTTGTTTCATTAAATTTCTTTTTTGATCTACTATTTCTGATTTGAAACTAAAAGAGGGGGTTGCTGGCAATTTATTAAACTTATGGGGATAATATGTTATGTTTCGAAATTGGAGGGCCTTGTTTGCATTTCAATCCAAGTATCTAGCCAAAACCCCCGACAAGGGTCTCCAACTCAAACTTCCCCTAATCATTTCCCCCTTCACAAACTGCTGCCTGAGATGGCTGGGTACAGAGCTGATGATGAGTATGATTACCTGTTCAAGCTCGTCCTCATAGGGGATTCTGGGGTTGGAAAATCCAATCTCTTGTCTAGGTTCACCAAGAACGAATTCAATCTGGAGTCCAAGTCTACTATCGGCGTTGAATTCGCCACAAGGAGCCTTACCATCGATGCTAAAGTCATCAAAGCTCAGATTTGGGACACTGCTGGTCAAGAGAGGTCACCTCCTTTTCCGATCTTATCAACACCATTCGTTTTTTTTATGAAAATCATAGATTCGTTTGTTAAGCTACGTGTACAGTCGATGTCGTTGTTTCACTGTGTTAGACTGGATCGTACGTTTGCTTACGTTTTTTCATTTTTCGTATTCTTACCCCCACATGAGTGATTGTTTTAAAGTTTAAACGATTTTGTGTGGCTTGCGGAATTTGTGCGACTAGACAGATACCGTACTGTTAGATTTGTTCTCCTAATATTCCACCAGCTTGACCCACTACTGCAGCTGTTGCAACAGGCCTTTTTTAAATGGTTAATCCCGATTTGAGTACACCTTTGTTTTTCTTTTACATCCTTTCTCAAAGTTGAAACTATGAAACCCCAATTATTTTTATGATTAGTGCCTATATGAGTATTGATGTTAATGCTACATGAGAGGGCAGAGTGAAAGTTGAGATGGAGAGACTAGAGATAATTGGGGAGCTTTGCTTTACTGACAGGGATGAGTTAGGGATTTTGGATCTTTTGCCATCATGGGATGGTTAAATGAATATAATTATTGAGCCTTACCTGGATTAAATCTGACCAGAAACCCCTCTGTTGGGCATATATTTATTCTAAATATTCTATATCGGTCCACATTAGAAGAATGGGAACTAGCAGATGTTCTTGAATCATGAATGTGTGAGTATCTTGAAGTATCTGAAGTTATTGTTACTGCCGTCCGTGGGCATGAGGTTTTAACTTCTAACTGACTTCATATGTGACTCACACAGTTATTTCTATATTTAGTAATTGTTTCATGCCGATTTTTTTGTATATGGCCTTTCCCGCCGTTGGTGTCTCCATCTCTATTTCATTGTATCCTTTGCAGTGTAGCTCTTATGTTAACCAATTTCAACTTTGTCTGTGCTCTCTTCGTGCGGGCTGAATTGTTCATGCACTAATATATACAAGTGAATGCAAAAATATATGCCTATTTATGTAT